CCACAAAAAAAAAAAAAAAAAAACCTCCACTTGGGACCAGCAGGTGGTGTGGTGGCTAAGGCGCTGGACGCCCACATGGCTGGCCAGTTTGAGTCCCAGACCTGGGAACGTGTAGAAGAGGGGATTGCACATGGCCCACGTCACTTTCCCTCTGTCTCTCTCCAGCGAGCGCACAAGCCCTATGCCAAAACATTAAAAAAAAAAAAAGTCCACCTTGCCGAGGTACGGAGTTGTACCGATCTGGCTGCTAGTCTGTCTCCTTTGGCTACTTGTCCAGCTATCCAGTTACGTCCCCTCCAGGAGAACAGAAAGGATTCTGGATTCCCTTCCCTGCCCCCCAGGTCAAGAGAACCATGAACACTGAAGCCCCCCAAGCCCACCCCCAAACCATACAGCCTGCCTCGTCAGCCATTGTGGACCCAACGGGAACAGCTGAGAACCCAAGGACCACTCCCTTGTGGAACACCCTCGGGTCCTCTGAAGTATTCGATGCTGCAGCCCACCTGGTCCCCTGTGCCACAGGTACCATGATTAATTGAGGGCTATGTCGTCGAGTCTCGTGGAGACCATCACCTCCTACCCATCCCCACCTCGGGCCTTCCCTTAGCATTCTCCCCTTTGCTCTGTCACCTCCTCCTTGGCTCCTGGGGCAGCAATCTCAGTGTCCCTCCTCCCGTCCCACACCCACACCTCCTTCCTCCTCCCAGGAGTCTTACCTTGAAGTCAGGAATCCCGAATTTGGTATTATATGACAGGTTGGACTTGGAGGTCACGGTATTCATCCTCTCCAGGGCTTGTAAATTCTCCTTATCTCCAGGAGCAGAAATTAACCAGAACTCTGACATGCTTGCAGGCGTCTCTTCTCAGTCAACTGGCCAGAACCAACACAAACACACACAAACAGAAACGGGAGGCGAAATGTGTCAGAGGCTCACTCTACCACTCCCTTCCCTCGGAATGAGCCCTCTCTGGGATCCACCACTTTCCCAGTGTCCCATCCCTTGTCTCTCTGACCTTAGTCAGAGTCAAGAGCTCCAAGGACGCCCTTTTGCAGGAAGCAGCCAGCTTATCTGCAGGGCACTTATCTCCCCTGGGGAAGCCTGCAGGTCTTCACCTGGTTTCAAAGCCCCCCCATCCGCAGGGTGGTTCTGGCTGCTGTTAAGGAGCAGAGGAGGTCAGGGAGGCCCTTCCGTTCTCCTCACTCCAGTAAGCAGCTCCTGGCTGACCCGGGGACATGGGGGACAGTAAGTGAGACTGGGACACCTGGGAGCATATTTTTTTCCTTCACCCTGGTATCTGGTAATGCAGGATGGGGTGGATGAAACAATGGGGGGAGGTTACAATAGGCCGCAAGGTCAAACCCCAATCTCAACTACTCAAACTTGGGACTGACATTAGATTTTAAGAAGGATTTCAGAAGGGCTGTTTTTAAAAAATAACCATAATAGTAAGGGGCCACCAGGTGGCATGGCAGTTAAAGGTATTAGACGCCCACATGGCTGACTGTGGTTCGAGTCCCCGACCTGGTGGCTTGGTTTCTCACTTTCTTTCTCTTACTCTGTCCCTCTTGGGTCAAATTAAAATAAATAAAATTAAATGAAACAATTCTTTTAAAATTTCGCTTTAAAAATAATAACAAAATCCAATAATTATTTAAAAATACTAATAAGAAGAATAAAAACGGAGGAGCTGCTGAGTCTTTCTTTCCCCGTGGAGGTCTTCGCTCTGCAGAGCAGGGACTTGCTGGACCTGGCAGGTATTTTCAGGGCAGGGTCTGCGGCTTCTAAAGCCGATTCGTTCTGCCCATTCAAACGTGCGCGCACCCACACTACCGCCCCACCACGGCGTCTCCGGACCGCTGGGAACACCAGGGTAACAACCCGAACACCACCTCTCCGCGAACTGCTCGCGTTTTGACTCTCAGTCTCACTCCAAGCCGAGACATCTCAGTAGTCCCTCCTAACCCTGCGCAGACCAAGCGCAGTTCCTTTCCGTCTTGACTGTCCATGGCCTGGGGACAAACTGGCCCTGCGCAGGACTCGGGGAGATGCCACCAGTCTGGTGGTGGAAGAGCGCGGCGGCGGCGCCCGCTCGCCAGTTCCCCACCGGGAATACACGCGGGCGGCCTGAGGCGCAGCTGGGACCGAGGGACACGGGTTGCTTGACGCAGGTCCCGCCGTCGGTCCCGGCGCTGCCGGCCCCACCCCTCCCCCGCCCCCCGCG